CCGCGAGGGGAAACCCGGGTTGGTGTCGCTACGTGACAAGTTTGGGGTTGCTTTCCCCTTAATTGCAGGCAAATGTGCAACACCAAGATGTCCTCCCTTACGGACGCCTCTTCGGTCACCGCTTCGGAGCAGGAGACACTGGTCAGTAGCTCTGTTAGACGCGCGAGGTTTTCCTGCTTTTTGCAGGATTGGTATCTGCTAGTTAAGAGGGGATGATTTGCTCGGGGAGCGATGGTCAGGGAAAAGTCAGGAACCTCGGTGAAGAAGCGCTCTCTTCGGTCTTGTGGTTGTGAAGTAAACTTTTCTAATTAGTGGGTGAGGTTTGAGGGTGGCAGTTTAGGTCCGAGCTCTGTTTCCTGGAGAACAGGTTCAGGTTGCGTTCTTCTAATTAAAAGGGTCTTATAGTCAGTTTTGATGCTGCTAAATGCTTCGTGGTGGGAAATGTAGCAGGTGTCATAACTGAACAGTTGTGGAAAATCTCCTTTGTGCAAAAAATACATTGCTCGCAAAGTAGCGTGAAATAATCTTGCCGTTATAACTGTAGATTTTTGAATTCCTTATTTTCACTTTCTGCTGTCTTGGAATTTGTAAGCAAATTGTACTAAGAGTCTTCATTTGTATTTAAGGCTTTACACATCCACGCTTTCCATGATAAAGTGACAGTTAGGCTGTGCTGGCTTTGTGCATAACTTTTCCTTAGAATGGAACTGGCCTGTTATATCTGAGATGGAACAGTTTATTAAAAATGGCATGGTGTACAACGAGGATTTAACTTGATTGCTTTTGTAGAAGGGTAAAGCTTAAAAGTTTAAACTGGTAGCAGAACTGTCAAAAAGCCGAATTGCAGAATAGTAGACTGTGGCTTTTCTTTTCTTTTTTTTCTTTTGTTTGTTTTGAATATTTTTTTAAAGACATCCTAATGGGATGCTGTGATCCGCAGTCAGGTCTATGAGGAAGAACTTCCTGCTTGCAGGAGTTGGGGAGAGGGCTTGGGGGTAAAAGGATCTCAGCTCGTGCATCTAGTGTCGATCTCTCTAGAGAGATCTGAAACTATGACTCGCCATACTATGTTAAGCTGTCTCTACTGCTTTGTTAAGCTAGTGTTTCTTTCCTTTATGAAACTGCAATATATACTCCATTTTCTAAATAGTTCTCGCGTCTAGAAAGGGCGAGGAGACATGTAGCATTGTTCACGTTCTTGTTTATTTTTTTTTCCTTATGTGCGATTCTTGCAACTTATTGCTTGTTAATGCACCAAAAGTTTATGTTGATCTTAGCAGATATTTGTAAACGGAATATAGAGAAGTCCCCTCTTTCCCGTTAGGCATTTATTCTTTGTCTCATGATTTTATTCAGGCTTTCTTGCAAAACGTTTTTCTAATAGGCTCTTTTTCTTATTTTAGATAATGTGTTTACATAACTAAATATTAGCCTGTTCTTAGAATGTTCATGCTGCTGTTAAAGTGGCAGTACCAGAATATACTGTGCTGGGAACTCTTGACAGTGGCTCCTCAGGCATTTTCTTGGCAGTTATGCCAGCCCCTGCAGCTTTGTCCTTATGTCCTGCACTATACTAGCACAACTGTTTGTAGAACAGTGCAGTGAATGGGATCTGGAGGAAAAAAAAGAGAAGGGAATAATTTAAGAATTACTTTGTCCATCTTGGAAATTGTTCATAGAATGGCCACAGAAATAACTCTGCTGGCTCTGTGCCTGGGGAGAGGCGGCAGGGTATTGTAAAGGTAGGAGTGATTGAACACTGATGGAAGGAGCAAGGGCTGCTTATCCCCACTAAGAAAAGTCTAAAGAAGTAAAGCAGTCCGGCTGCCAAATGTAAACCACAGCCTCAAATTGTTATGGGAAGAGAATAGGGAAGAGATGGACCAGAGCTCTGCTTTGTCCATCGCACTCTGAACCTCACAGATAGTCCCAAAGGTCCATCTGCCTTCCTGCCTCTTATCTGGAGTCACTGTAGTGACGAAAGGAGTGAAGCTGAATTCCCCAGGGCGCGGCGCTGTTCGGTGGAACCAGCAAAAGAATCTTGTAGCTCAAGTCAAGGAATCTGTACGTACTGCTGAAGGGTTCAGGCTAGGATGTATAGTGTATGGCAAGCTTAGTAAGATTGGATTTGTGATATATTTTTTTTAATTTCTAACTTTGCAAAGTCAAACACTTGGATGTGGATAGGTTTTCATGGAGTTGTGTGTTTGTATATCAGATAAATACAGAAGGAAGAAACTCCTCTGTATAAATAATACCATGTTTGTATAATAACTGCTGCAGACTCTTTCTTTCTTCTTCCCACCACAGGTTAAACCAAAGCCATTATTGCTGAAGTTGTTGAAGTTAGCTGGCGCAGAAAAAGACACTTTTACTATGAAGGAGGTGAGAACTTCTAATTAGCAAAGATAGATTACAGTAAATACAAATGGATTCTTCTTTTGTTCTGGGTGAATGGGAGGGAGTAGTAGTTCACGGCTTGGGTAGAAAGTACTGAGACAGGACATTGTTTTTAGTTCTCCTGCTGACTTGTTTGATTGCCTTGAGCAAGTTTCTCAAACTCTAGGCTGCAGTTTCTGGCTGGTCTGTAGAATAGCAGAGTACTTGGTGAGCCATAAATGAAAATTGCAACTCAAAGGAAGTTTTAGGTAATCAGTGTGAGAAGAGCAAACGTGTCAATGAATTTAATGTCTTTTCTCTTGCACTTAAACTTGTAACAGCAAAGCAGTGTATTTAATGGCTGTGTATTTGATTCATTTTACAGGTAATATTCTATCTTGGCCAATATATTATGTCTAAACAATTATATGATGAAAAACAGCAGCATATTGTGCACTGTGCAAATGATCTCCTTGGGGACTTATTTGGAGTACCAAGTTTTTCAGTAAAAGAACACAGGTAAAATGGAATACTTTTCTGAGAGTCTGGTTGTGAACTAATGTAGAACATAATACATATGGCATTTTTTTAGTTCTCTGTGCCTTGAAAGATGTTTAGTTCTCTTTTATAGTTAATCACCTGGTCTAGTCTTTCTCCTTTTTTTTTTTTTAATTGGAGACTTACTGAGCCAATGTTTGTGTCCATAACCAACAAATTTCAGATGATCTGCAAACCTGAAAGGGGTACAGTAGCCTCAGACACTGAGTTTTGAGAAGAGAATTTTCCCATTTCGTTTGTAATGTAGCAGCTACAAAGGGGTTGCAGAAACACATAAGATTGGGCTCTTGACTTGACAACCTGTGTATGAAGGAGGCAATCTAGATTTTAAAAGTTAACAGCAGAGAATAGTGGTGTGTAATTCCAGTATGTTCTCCTACCCAGTAATCGTGCCTCTCTCCAGCACAAAGCTAGAGTATTTTAGCCTTCCTTCTGAATAGGTTGCCTTGCTGCAGTGCTTATATGCTTGGTCTTCTGAGCCTTAACAAAAATCACTGTTTAATGCAAGTTTGCTTGTCTTACAAGACCAAAATGTTCATACAAGTTCTAGCAAGAATAATTTTGAATCAGAGTTAGAGCTGAAAATCACTGCTGATTTGTTAGGAACTTCTTGTCAAATTATTTTAACAAGAGTTATGATCTTCTCTTTCTTGGCTTTTGAAGTGAATTTAAAAAATGAAGCATTTGGAAATTTACTGAAGTGAATAAACTCTCTTCCCTTTCTTCAGAAAGGGAGAAAGAGAGGGCTTTTTTGTTTGTGTTTACAAGTGAAATAACAAAGCTGAAAAAACTTCAGCAAGACCAAACAGCTGTTTTCCGTATTCCTCACAGAAATTAGCATGCTCTTTGGGGCCATATCTAATTACCACAGTAAAAATAATTAATTCTAACATGAACATCATTATAGGTAAATGTGCAGAGTATGTATGAACTCTACAGTAGCTAACTTGCAACATCTCTTTTTTATCCTCATCCAAGGAGAGTATATTCAATGATTTCCAGAAATCTGATAGCAATAAATCAACAAGGTAAGCTAGTTCTAGAGGGTCTTTTTTGCAGGGGAGGGGGGGAATAGAAATAGAGAAGATGCAGATACCTACGATAACGTATTTTGCATGTAGTGGTCAGATAACATCTGTCTCTCCATGATGAGCTATTTTAGTTTTCACAGCACTGCCCAGAGTGACTGCAGGTAAACAAATTAAACCGAGCACTGTTTTTTCTGAAAATAAAATTGCATCTGAACTGCATTTGGGTAATTTTGTGGGACATGAACTAGAGCAAACATAGTCATAGCTGAACACAAACGGGACTGAATTCAAAAATTGAATGGTTTGACTGCTTGCATTTCTTACAAATCAATTTTCAATTTTCTTATGATCTTGAAGAGTTTAAGACCAAAAAATGAGCTTCTTGAGCTTGTGCCCACAGTGAAGTCAGGGTAAACCTCCGATTTTTTTTTTCCCTAGTGTTTTTGATTTTTTTTTTTTTTAAGTGTTCCATTTTCATTTTCAAAACTGAATGTGGGATACATTTAGAACAGGTCATAAGCTCAGCTACATTAGCTAAATTGAATCCTCTTTAAAAAAAATCTATATTCTTAAAAAAAAATTGGTAGCTCCATGGAGAGACGCTCCATAAATGGAGAATGGTTATACACATTCTTTTCTGGAGTATAAAAATGCTCAATATAGCTGTCATTTTGGGGTAATATAAGAAGTGAGTGAACCAAAAGTAAAAGAGCAGAGGCCCTTTTGTGAATTTCCTTCTAAATTCATATTGAGACACCCTTTGTTTTTGATTCTTAAAGGTAAGTGCTCAAATGCTCGGTGGGAAAGACGCTGTCTTTATTGGCCCTTACTTTTATGTTTGAAATACGTAAACTAGCTCTGAATATTTTGAGAGGAGGAAGATAATTGATTACTTCTGGGTCTAGGCTGGCAGCAGTTTTTCTTTCACTATTTAATGTCTTTTTAAATCAGTGTTGCCATGATAGCTAGTAAAATACACATTGGAGAGGAGGAGGTGTAAAAATACTTCCTGGCTACATTCTTTCATGTCTGCAGAACCCCAGCTAACGCGTACCCTTCATCTGTAGGCATTTATAATATAATTCTGACCTACTTTGCAGTTGGGATTTCTTCTTCCTCCTTCCTTTTCCATTTTCATGTTGCAGGTGAAGTACTGGACATACCTGAAAAGCAAAGGAGTAGGGTTGTTTTTTCAGTTGTTTAAAAAAATGTATGGATTCCAAGTTACGATTAGAACTTACTTTGTAAACAGTGTGCAGTTAACTTCTTTCCCTTGCTTTTAATATAGTGGGGTATTTGGGATTTGTTGTTGTTGTTTTTGAACCTGAGATTATATTAAAATACAGCAGAAAAAGGTAGTTTTGAATTATTTTTTTTTCAGACTCCTCACTTGTTGACACGTCTGAGGATGACACCAGATTTCAGCTTGAAACAGAAAATGTTTTAAAGGTGATCTTTCAGTTTGATACATTCTTAGATGTAAAATCAGTTAAGTTTCATACTCTAATGTCAATGGTTTGGATGCACTTAGAGTAATTCTAATTTTTTATATTCCTGCTTATGCTTATTCGGTCTTTCTCTTAATCAGGAATCCATGCAAGAGTTAGAAGAGAAGCAGACTTCACCAAACTTGGCTTCCCGACCCACTACATCTTCTAGGAGGAGAACACACAGTGAATCTGGTATGTGCAGATTTATGATTTAGAGCTTTCAATAGCCTGTCAACTTAGGAAAGAAAAAAAAAATGTTACCTTGCTGATTTTGAAAGATGATGACAAAGACTGTTGCTGTTTCTCTGATTATCTTAAAGAAAATGTTCAGTTTGATAGAAATATGGGATTCCTTGCATTGCTCCAGTACTGCCTTACAGTTTAGATCTCTAGAACTATTAGTAAGACAATAGAAGGACCTGTTCCACAGATCTGTTCAATCAAATCCTGCTGATGTGATCAAGTTTATCAGTTGTGCTACTTCATGATGAGAACACTTCAGTCCTGTTTTTGAACAGACTGATAATAATCAAATTCCTTTCAGTTCCGTCTAGACCACAAGATTTAAAATTTTTGTTCCTCTCTAAAAGAGGTTTGCATTGGATTTCAGTTGGTTACATAGAAGTGAAAGATGTTGTGTTTAATTTCACTGGATGACTTTGGATATGTTTGCGTTCCTTACATTCCTTAAGCACTTATTTAAAAAAATCAGTTTGTCCACTTCTTACTTCTTTCCACGTTCTCTTCACTGTGGTTATTTAATAATTATTGACAAATGTATTTTCAAAATGTGGAGTGTTAGTTGCTAATTATCAGAATAAAACTGGTTTGTATGAACCTGTATAACTTTAAGTTTCTTTAAAGTGTTCTCTACATTTCAACTTACATATTACTTTGAAATTTCTCACATCAGTGTGTTTCATTGCTTGCTTTATTAGCTCATGACTTGATAGTTGTAATCCCCTGGGCAATGATAAGCCTCTGTCATTGCATGAATCTTTTTCTTAAGATGCTTGGGAACACTTTTCACTTCCTCAATTTTTGTGTAGTATTTTTTTGTGTTCGTCATAGACCGTTGTTAAATTAGCCAGCCCAAAAAACTGTACTGCATTGCTAAGCGGTTTGCACTAGATTAAAAGAATGTTTTAATGTTGTAACTGAAACTGATGAAAGGATGGAAATTCACAGTTAAAGATCATAACCTGTAATATTTAGGCATGACCCAGAGCACATAAGGTCCTGTGTTGTGCTTACTTATTGTAGGTTTGATTAACAACTCTGTCTTTGCATCCATTTATTAGTTTGTTACAACCTTAAAAGTTCTTTTAATGTAGTGTTTTTATATACACTTTTTTTCTAATTTATAGGAAATCTTCCTTTTAAACCACTATTCTTGTTAAATTGAGATGGTAGCGGCTCCTTTGGAGCCGCTCGTATAGTGTATAGAAACCTTGTGGTGATACATTATCAGTACAGCATGGAGCCATGACATCTTAATGAGGACAACGATGGACAGGAGCAACCGTTGGGCCTGGGGGCACCAAATTTGGTGGGGCTCTCAGGGCGGAAAAAGAGAGGGGCTGAGCCAAGAAGCACCAAGGGAAAGTAAGAGAAGTCTCAAAGTATGTACAAGTGTTTTGTTCTCTTTTCTTTTACAATGAAAGATTCAAGACTTGGAGACTCAATGGATCTGTCAGGGTGTGTTTTTACAAGGCAAGGAAAAAGCTGGGCAATAGAGGGTGTGTGCAAGAGGCACCTGTAGGGGGCAGCAGGCTCTTACCAAAGTCTGTTGAACCAATATGTCAGTCCTCTTTGGGAATTTTCACTCCACTGCATTTACTGTGTACTGATTTTACAGTGCTTTTTAAATAAGCTTATTTCTTATCAAACTCTCTAAATACCAGTGGAGCTGAATTTTGACTTATTTACCCCTGAAATGCTGTCCCCCTACTCCTCCTTATGCTGCTGTACAGTGTTTTAAAATGTGACATACTTAGAAAGCGTTGCTTTTCTGCCTTCAAATTAAAGTTATTTAATATGTTCAGCTTAAGGCAATGCTTTTGTAGTTCAATTTTTACATATTATGTTAGTCCTGAAGATTTTCTTGCCAGAGTGTGGTCAGATTCATTCACATAAGGGTTTGTTACAAAAGTCCTTTTGAGCAAATACTGTTCCATGTAGTGCAGCTATTAACTGATAGATCTGTTGAAGGATCTGGAACTTGCACCTGAATTTATCTTGCCTAACATGAGATCCTTTGTAAGTGTTTGACCTGAGAGCTAGTTGCTCTTTTCTCCCTCCCAAATTCTGGAAGGGGCTAACAAGCCCCCTGAAAGTACCTTTCTGTGTACTGACTGCAGGGGGAGCTAGGACAATTCGGATCCTAACTGAATTCCTTAAAGTTAGGAGGGGTTTAACTGAAGTGCTATGTGTGAAATGGGGTAAAAAAAACACTTCCAACTTAGCAATTACTATATTTGCTAAATATGGAAATTGCCATTTACAATCTGTACTGTGATGCACAAGCAGGGAGAACCAGCCCCTGAAATACTGGTTTCTTGAACGTGTTCCACGTTTCTCATGTTTCTTAGTGTTACTATGCCTTCTTAAAATTAGCCTTTGGTGCCTTTACTTTTTTCCATAAAGTAATACTGAAGAACTATTTTTCTTGAACTCCTAAATAAGTAAATTACATTTTAAGCCGCTGTAAAGAACAAGTGAAACTGCACAGATGTTTTTGGATTAATACAAGTTCTTTAATATGCCCAGAAGAAAATTCTTCAGATGATCTGCATAGTGACAGAAGAAAACGACACAAGTCAGACAGCATTTCGTTGACGTTTGATGAAAGTCTCTCGTGGTGTGTAGTCAGTGGGCTATGCCGTGAAAGAAGCAATAGCAGTGATTCAACAGATTCTCCTTCCATTCCTGTAAGTGAAAATTTTTTTTTTGGTACAGATTTTGCAGATACCACAGCTGTGGATGTGTATCTTAGAACCTCATATTAATAACTGAAACCAGCAGTGCCTTTAGTGGCATCTGAGAATTGGGGCTGAGGAAGGAGAAGGGACTGAAAGAGAAGTTGGGGAGGGGGTGTAATAAGGTCTCTCATGGATTTTTTGACAAAGCTGGAAGTGAAAGTTTTTAAAATATGAACTCTGAATATTCATGAAGCGAGACAAGTAAATAGATTCTTATTCCTTAAGGCAGTATTTTTAAAAGTGCAAAATCTATATAGTATTTTAAAATAAGTACTTTCTTAGATTGGCAAAAGAAGAAAACTAGGCATAGACATTCTGTAACTTAAAACAGTATCTAGTTCTGGGCAACTGGTAGTTATAGTACAACTCTGATAACTGTATGTAGTAGTGCCCTGATGGTATGCTGTATTTATTTGCCTAGCCCTTACTGACTATTTTTATTGTTTTCAGCAAATGCTGAGACAGATTATCTGTGGTTAGGTTAAGTAATGAAAAGCTAAATCAATTGTATTCCTAGTCAAATAACAGTATTTTAGATTGACAGGACTAATACTGTAACTTCACTTTTTGCTATTGGATAATTGTTTAACCACTATCTCAAATTAAAGAAGAACATGAAAGTTAAAAAGACAAGTAAATGAGAACAGAGAATTTAATGACACAGAGCTAAAAAAACAGCATCATCTTGCATATGTTCTAAGGCTTTTTAGGAGAACTTTTGTGAAATAGAAGAAGCAGTCTTCAAGCTGAATTTAGGTTGACTGCTGCTTCTATCACAAAACTGACAAAAAGCTTTCAGATCTAAAAGCTTTTATTTTTACCCAGGTATAATCAGTTTGTCTCTTAAAAGATGTTCCACCTAACAGCAGCTCTTTTTGTTTCTTCCATAGCTAATTAAACTGTATAGTTCAGTTTTATCTTATTAAGAGACATCTTAACAGAAATGGTTATAGATATGGAGTAGTGAGGCTGAATGTTTATTTATTCTTTCTCTTTATTCAGGATCTTGATGCCAGTTCACTAAGTGAAAACTCAGATTGGTTTGACCACAGTTCTGTTTCAGACCAGTTCAGTGTAGAGTTTGAAGTTGAGTCTATTTATTCAGAAGATTATAGTCATAATGAAGAAGGACAGGAGCTCACAGATGAAGATGATGAGGTATATATTTGCTTTTTTTGATTGGTGGGTGAGAGGGGGAAGGAAAACTATATCAATACTTCATGTTGTGATTCTGACAAATAGAAGCAGTAATTCTTCAAACTTATTTCAGGACTGCATATGCAATATGACAAACTACATTCAATCATTTATTATATCAAATTACATGCCTGCGCAGTTGTGCCACCATTATACACCCCTCGCTCTGGTATCCAGAGCTGTGCTGAGGCATTCTGCAGTTTTAGAGATAGAGCCTGGCAGCCCAGAGAAGTCTCTCTGTCCATCTTAAATGTCACTCTCTAGCAGATGGAGTCAGTAGCGTTCTGTGTGCTCGAGTCTACTCTTACGTTTTTAGTTACAGAAGTATTCATTTGGAACGTATGTTGAGCTTAATTCTTGACACTGAATGAGAACTTTCCTAGTAACTCTTTGCAGAGGGATACTTGCAAATAACTTGTCTCCATGAATCTAAATGTTTTATAGAGATATGCTGTAATACAACTTTAGAAGTTTCCATTAGGAGACAACATATTAAAATTGTAGTTCCCATCCTTTTCAAGATATTTAGGTGTCTGTAATGTCAGGAATTAAGTGGGAAATTATTTTTTTCTGGATTAGTTTTCTGCTACTTAAGTGAGCCTGCATCAGCTTATGGGAAGATGAGGTAAGCACCAAAAGCAGAATCAGTCAGGGATATACATTGATAATGATACTTGGGAGTGAAAGAGTGGCTAACAGTGCCACAGAGCTGCACCCTGGGATAAGACAGTGATTTGGAGGGGGAAAGGACTGAGGGTTTTTTTTTTTTGTTTCCTTAACAGTAGTGTTAAAAAAGAAGGTTTCTTGCTGCTACATTTCTCACTCACAGTTGACATGAGCTGTATGAGAAAGTTGTCCCTTTCATCTTTTTAGTCTGTGTTTGTCAAACTATGTGTCCCAATTGTGAACAGAATTTTTTTTCCCAAACCTAGCCATCAGATTTTATCAGGATTTACTTTCTAGCCTTGTTAACGTCAAAACTTAGTATATGTGTTTTTTTTTTTTTAAATCAGGTATATCAGTTGACTATTTATCAAGATGAAGAAAGTGATGCTGATTCATTTGATGAAGATCCAGAGATTTCTCTAGCTGTGAGTAAATCCTTGATTTGCAAAGCATCTTAAATTGGGTGAATGGACAGAGCAGGTCAAGCCTTATAGGTGAAATCTATGGTTACTGGTGATTTAAATGTTAAATTGGCTTTTAAGTCAGCTTAAGTCTGACTTTTTTGTGCAAAATGCAAAGGAAATATTCTTTAAAATATTGTGTATATTTAAAAAGCTTTTATTATAAGTCAGAGTATCTTGTTTTATTGTCCAACCTGAATGAAGGAATCGGTAGTACAGAGATGTGAAGGCAAACCTGTTTTCAGAACAGTACTTTAAAATTAGTAGGTTTTTAAGCTTTTTTTGATTCTGGGAGACAGTTCTTGAACGTGGGAAGAAATGGAGGGGGTATGGTATTTGGAACAAAATATGTAGACAGCTGTAAATAAAATATACCCTCACCCCAGTTTAAAGTCATTTTGTGTCTTGGAGAGTAGCTGGAGTTCTTTTTTGAAGGTAATGTTGAATATTTTTGAAGATCTATCTAGGATTAAAAAGCAGAGTTTGTTTTAATTTGTGGTTGCTTTTCACTGTTGAAAGCTTGAATAAAGCTGTTGTGAATAACTATTTGAAATGTTCCAGTCCCTTGATGCTCTGTGGGACTCATCTGACCCTGTATTTTACAGACATAGAGACCATTTTAAAACACAGCGCTCCTTATGTGTGGAAAAATATATCTGTCCATTATTTTAAGATTTAAAATTAGCATCTTAAGCTTTTGATGCTGCTATGTTATTCATGACTTAAACCAAAAAATGCTTCAAGCCTTCCAAATAAGGTGTTTTGTTCTCTCCCCCCCCCCCACCGAAATGAATTAATTCTAGGGAGGGACTTTTACCTTTTTTGTAAAAAAAAAGTATTTTTAATAGGATAAATATTCTCTCTTCAGTGCAGCCTATGGAGTAAGCTCTGAGACAGTGACGCAACTTCTTTAAAATGGCTGGTGTTTTCTACTCTCTGTAATACTGCTGTCTCAGAGTGCCCTCACCTGGCCATCTTGCAGACCAACATCCTTCTGGCTATTTCCATTGGAAATAAACATGCACCAACCAGCAAGAGCGTCCCCCAGGTTAGAGGCTGTTCCTCCAATCCGAGTGTTGCTAGTCATTTGAAAGACAGTTTCCAAATCATAAGCTCATAACTGAAAATAATGGAAATGGTAGCTGTTTTGCCAGAAAACTTCTTCATGAGGTTCTCTGAAGACTTCTACCTTCTGGTTTCTTCAGTTTTGGCTAAGAAATAATAAAAATAGAGGTAGGGAATAATTTTTTTATTTCACCTGTTTACTGTAAGAGGGAAGAAAATCAGACTCTTTTAAAAATTAGACTATTCTATTCCAGACTCACAAACTGGGAGCAAACACTGAATGGAATTTTTAAGCTATAAACAAGCTGATAGCTCAATATGACTTATTATTTTGGCAGTAATAAATTCTTTATAATCTCTAAATATTTCAGTCGTAACAGTTCCAAGTAGCTTAACAGTTTCAACCTTTAATTCACTAAAGGATTATTGGAAGTGTGCTGAGTGTAGTGAAATGAATCCTCCGCTTCCACGACATTGCCACAGATGCTGGGCCCTTCGTGAGGACTGGCTTCCGGATGAAAAGAGTGGTAAATCGGAAAAAAGCAAATCAGAAAGTTCTTTACATCTGGAGTCTGAAGAAGGTTTTGATGTTCCTGACTGTAAGAAAGTGAAAATGACTGAAGATAAAGAACGGGCTTTGGAGGAAAATGATGATAAAACAGTACAAATGTCCGAGTCCCAGGAAAGTGAAGAGTATTCTCAGCCATCTACATCTAGCAGCATGTTTTGTAGCAGTCAGGAGGACTTTAAGGAACCCGAAAAGAGAGACGTGCAGGACAAAGAGGAAAGTATGGAAACCAGTCTGCCTATCACCAGCATAGAGCCCTGTGTCATATGTCAAAGCAGACCTAAAAATGGCTGCATAGTACATGGCAAAACAGGACATCTTATGTCATGTTTTACATGCGCAAGAAAACTTAAGAAGAGGAACAAACCCTGTCCAGTGTGCAGACAGCCCATACAGATGATTGTACTAACTTACTTCAGTTAGAAGGATGTTGAGTGGAAAGCAGCAAAAGGAACTTCATAGCCTGGTGCAGCAATTAAGAGAGTAAGAAACTATTTTTGTATGCTTAATGGAATGTTCATATTTTGAGAGTTTATACATTTGGTGTGGAAGGTGGTTGCTGAAACACATATTGCACTGGAATTGATAAGAGTCTAGCCTAGTCCTCATTAGTCAATGTAAAGATCTTAAATGCCTCTCAACAGAAATACCCATTTCCTGTAAACTGTCTGCCTTTCCAAGTGTTTTATGTTGCAAACAGGTTAATAACATTTGAATTACTGGATTAAATCCACACGTTAAAAACATGAGGGGAGATACGTTTTTGAAGAGTTTGTTGGTGGTGATTCCACCTCTTAAGAAGATAGAAGACTCTCTAGATTCTGGTATCTGTTGCCTGGTGAAGACAGTAGGCAAAAATAAGAACTCTGAGTAAGTCAGGAAAAATAAATGGAATCTTGTCTCCCTTGTTCCCATGACTTAAATTCGTCTCAGTAGTCAAGTTATGGGGAAGGTCTCTTAGATACTTAAGATTAGCAGGGAATTAGGGAAGATGTGATAGAAAATCACTTAAGGATTTGGAAATAGAATAGGAAATGGTGTCTTTTATAACTTGCATTGTAAATTTCAGTGCTGTATGAGTGTGTCCTGAGAAGTCATTGTCTTAAATTCAGTCTTACAGTTACCTCTTAAACATCCTGAGAAATAGGCTTTGCAAATATTTTGTGGGATTTGGCGGTCTGTGCTATGCTATTGATTATTTTAGCAGTGTCGGAGACTTGAAACAGACAAGGAAAATGAAGGATAATCTATATAATAAGTTGTGCAAATTAGGCAATATTGGGGGAGATTTGTATTTTTTGTGCAGTGTTTTTTGACTTCATTACAGCTTGAGCACTACATTTACTCAAGTAAGAATTAAAACCCACCTCCCGTTGCAGAAACAAATAAGGTGTGTGGTTCTATTTCATGTAGATGCTTTTTAAGTTGTCTTTCTTACTTGCCCTATTTTTATCTGTATCACAAGAATTTTGAAAATCTTTTGCCAGGTGTTTGACTAATTTAAATATTTAAGACTTCAATATGAAAATTTGTCACAATTTGTTCTGGCACTTACAGCTTTTAAGTCTTCTCGCTGTACTTGGTCAAAAACTTTGTGAAACATCTGTTCCTTTATTAAGAAGTTTACTAAGTTAGTTTTGTGGTGCATACATAGAAAGTTATGTATTTGTATGCTAAAATATCTTCAGGATGTGGTTAGATTAGATTTGAATTGGTTTTTAGATGAATAGTTTCTGTACCCGTGAGTTGTATTTTTTTTTTCTTTTGGAAAACTAAACTTAAGAAAAGAATTGCACATTTTAGCAGCTTTTCAATTTTAGAGGTAGTCACTTGTAGTCTGTCCAATAGGGAGAATGGTGCATTAGTAGCTTTTGAGACAAGGGAGTTCCAGATATGGAGATATAACCTAAAGAAGTTGCATGGTTTTTACTGTCCTGCAAGCCTACGTTAAATAGCTTTCTTAACTTAAAATACTAGTAGAGAACAGTTAATACCCATGTATGTACAAAGACTTATAACTGCTTTAGTGTCAGAATTGAAATAGTTATTCTAGTATAAAGTGTCTGTAAACCATGAACAAAAACACCCTGATGAATACAAGGAAGTACCTAGGCAAATGATAAATGAAAGAAACTAAAAGCTGTAAAATACAAACTTGTTAAACACTTGGTTATTATTTGCCTGCAAAGAAATTCTGTGATATGTAGACTGAGTTACCTGGATTATCTTACCTGGATTTTTTTTTTTTCTTTTTTTTTTCCATACAGTTAAGCTTATTCTCGCAAAATACTACTAAAAGAAGATACTGGTATCTCTGAAGTTTAACCGTAATTCATTTTAACTAAACTTAACAAAATATAAAACCCAATTGTAATTGTCTCTTCAAATTCTTAAATGCAAATTTCTTGCTGTTTGCAGTTTGTAATGTGACAGCAGATGGTTGGAAGTTCTTGAAGTTATAACTTAAAGGCTTTGGTCAACAATAACCTTTCGTGCTGGATTTTGATAATCCTTTAGCCTGAGACGGGAAAAATCCTTTGGGCTGTCACTGATATGCATGCTTTGCATATATTGGCCAAAAAAACATTGCAGATAGCCTCACTGAATTGAAATTGAGAAGAAATATTTACTAAAGCTTAAATATTTTCAGGCCGTGATGCTTCTAATAGATGGTTACCTGCCTTAGTTCATGACTGCTTCCTATTTATTTTTCTTATGTTATTTGATAAAGTACAGTGAAGCTGGCAAAGGCTTTTCCACTGCACCTACAGATCAGAGCCAAACAGTGGTCATATCTTGTCTGGAATCTGTAGCTGAGAGAGAATTGAAAAGCTGTACGATTAGGAAAAGTGTTGATAAAAGGGGGAGTGTGCTAAGGAAGCTTTCTCTCTCTATACTCTCTCTTAGGCCTTAAGCTTTTTCTGTTTGATACCTTCTCTGTAGTCACTGTAATTGCTATGTAACTACAGTCATGGGAGAGCAGCTGTTCCTACTTGGTTCCTATTGGAACAAATTGTAACATCCCATTCTTGGTGTCCTTTTCTAACCCCTTAAGTTATCCCCATCATTAGGGAGAGGGAGGGAAAAAAAAAAAAAAAAAAGCTCTCAAAAAAGCATGCACGGTCAGTGCAGTGATCCTTGTTATTTACAATTACTTAGCTTTGGAATTTCCTTTCAATAACATTTTTTCTTCCTCTAAAGCCTTCTACCTTGGCAAAATGTAAAAGGAAAGCATACAGCATAATGGATTTTCCCTTTTATGAGCTAAAAATTTACTTCCCTAGCATTTTTTCTTCTGTGGGGAATAGCCATGGAAATACCCTGCACTCCATACCGTATTGAGGAAACGGGGAATTTAGGCTTCTGCATCCTTGGATAAACTAGTGTGGCGGACTGACTCTTTGTTCTGAACTGTTTTTTGGCTTAATAGTTGTTAACGCCTCCTGGCAAGTGGCAGGTGACTTTTTCAAAACTTGCTTTACAAATGAGGAAGTGATGAGCAGTGACATCTAGCCCAGTTCCTGTGAAGAAGCTGGCAGGCAAATGAGAGCTCCTCGAGGTGTGCGTGTGTGTGTGCACGCGCATCTGTCTGATGCAAGTGCTGAGGACCAGGACCCTGATTCAGAGCAGGTCTTCAGACCCTAGGTCTGCACACTGTGTGTGTGTGTGCGCGCGCGCATTGCACCTGTCTGACGCAAGTGCTGAGGACCGGGACCCCAGTTCAGAGCAGCTGTTCAGGCACTTAATTGCAACATTTAAATTTATAGATCTGTCTCTGTTAAGTCACTTTGACCTGCACTCGAACCTCTGTAAAGAGAAGAAGAAATGCCAAAAGGGTTAATGGCAACAAACCTTGTTTTTTTGGCGGATACACAATTACGTGTCCTTCAGTAGTAGTCAAAATCAGCACAGAAGTTCACGCTTGTACTTAGAGAGATCTCTTAGGTTGTTATTTAAGACCATAGACATTTTGATCTTTAATTTATTGCAGTTTGTACATACTCCTGTGCATACGGTTAGTGTTTTGAGCTTTAATTTATTGAATTAGTCTATTGGTACATGTGTATATACATAAATGTGTGTACGTTGTAAATCACAGTTACAAGAAGAGTATTTAAGTAATTGTAGCATTAAAAATAAAAAGGCAGATAGAAATATAGCAAACTAAGAGGGGCATAAGAAGATTTATGGCTTTGTTTTCTTTTTTTGCTTCCCTTAATACAACTACTGAGTTATAACCAAACAAGATTTATTAAATGACAATAGAGATGGATGCTGATACAACATTAATATAATGGAAATCCTTTGGTGCTGTTTTCCTTTGGAATGCTTTAGCATCTCAGAGTACAAACAAGAAGCTGACTGACTACTTCATTGCACTAGTAGCGTTGGAAGTCCTTACCTGGAAGATGTGGTGACAAGAGGAGAGGCTTTAAAGTTGATTTGTATTGGGTGATGATTTCTTTTGCCCTTGACTAAGTGACCAAGAAGGTTAAAGGAATGGCTAGGCATTAAAAAGAAGTTGAAAGTATACAGTTTTCAGTAATTGTCTTAGCCTACTCTTTCGTGCACTTCAGGTAGACAATAGTCATTTACAAATACGACCAAAAAATTGCATTTATTCTGTTTTATAAGGTACAATAAAACTACTTGTTGATTAAATATTACTTTTTCACAACGTATGTTTCTTTTAGTATTGAAGTTCAACTGCTGAGCCAAGAAAGCTAAGTGCAAAGTACTCAAGACAGAAGCCATTTGTTCCAGTATGTCAGAAAGGCTAGAAATGTTGAATACTGAAATAGTTGAGAATCTTTAATACTGAATCTTCACTTCAAATTTTCTAGTTTATAAAGTCTGCTGCTTTTATCCTTTAAAAATGTTGCACAGCTGAAATGTAAGTAGCTGGGTCACTGATTCTATTTAATATTCACACCACAAGGATTACATTTTTGTTGAGCAGCACCTGTGAAATACTGCTCATTAGTGTCGTTAACTAGCGCACTGGAAAAAGTATGTGCCATGCTGTATTCCACAAGAGGCTATGGCTGCTGCTTCAGGTAGCAGGTTGATTTAGAAAGGATAAGTTTACATAGTTCTGTTGATGAAAGGTGTTGTGTTTATTTCTGACCATTTCTTGTTCCATTTTATCACTGAGTTTCAATTTTCTTGTAAACTGTTTAAATGCCACTGTCTCTTAAATTTGTCTGTACGGTTATGAAGCCAAATGCAAAAGACTTATATTTTTCCCCTTTAAGTCTAATATGAAGGAAAACCAATTCTCGTTCTTACAGAAAGCATCAACAACAGTAATTGTTTCAGAAAACCTTGTTTTTACAACAAAGCGATCAGAAAATTACTAGAAGCAGAGTACAGCTGAATAAACTGAAATGAATAAACAGCAATTGTACAGGAGTGAAAAGCTGTTTTCTTTCTTTTCTTAATCTAAAGTTGTAAAGGGCATAACTGCAGAAGTCGAATTTTCAACTTTACTTAGCATTTTAAACCAGATAATTTACTGTTAATTTGCCTACATACATGGCTAGACAGCAGTTATCCCAGGAAGATGGATGTTTTGTTGCATAATACTTTACTGAGCCTAAAAAGGGATGTTTGCTGTTGGTGGTACTTTCCAATGCAGTGTGCATGACTCGCAGAAAGGCACCATACCCGGTTTAAGTTTATTTGCTGCTCTTGCTTGATTATTCACAATACAGGCAGGGGGCTACAGACTTCACGTGGGGTCATGTGTTGTGTAGCATGGTTGTACTCTAAAATGCACTCTTGTACTTCAAAGCTCCAATAGGCCGGGCTTCATTAGAACGGCTTTCACTGCTGGTAGGTGTCTTTGTGGTCCTGGGGGAATAACTACTGTCATGCAGTGAAGGTTCCCAGCTCACGCGTAACGCCGGAGTCTCACTGTTTTTCTTTTTGAGTTCCTTTGTAGTTTAAAGGTTGTGGAAAGA